AATGAAAAGGACCAGTAAGTGCCATTGCCATTTAAACCACTAACATCATTTTATAAAGTTTCTTTTTCAAGTGCCTACTCCCTTCAAAACCAATAGCAAAACTTCTGTCATTTTCAGACTGATGCTGAGCTACCAGTTAAAGCATGATGATGCAAGGAGGGAAGTGGATGCCCCCTTTATAACTAACATCAAACACACAGCCACATGAACACGAAGAATGGAGTGGCGTTTGTTGAAAACAAGGTGCCATCTTTCTAGGTAGCAAATTGTTCCCATCCATAAAACACTCTTTAAGAGAGAGACAATTTGCTGATGAATCTCACAAAAAAAATAAACCACAATAAACCACTATTCACCATAATTAAAGGAAGGAGTTTTTGTTGTTGTTGTTTGGAATGCTCAAATTATCCCACATTTCCAAAGGTATAACCAAAAACGGAGTGTGTGCTGGAGGGTGGTGGTTTTCTAGCACATGAGAGAGAAAAGGAGGTAAGTGGCTCCGGGCCAGTCCAGCAGGCATCACTGAGCAAAGCACAAGACCCACAGCTCTGTGATTTCAAACCACACGAAAGCCAAAATTACTCCAACTCATAGTGCTGCTTCGATCCTACAGCTATCACAAGATAGGTCCATTAACAATCAGAAGCAAAGTCAGACTGTCCATCCCAGAGCATTACACACAAGTGTGATGACATCAATGCCCGTGAGTCATGATGCGTCAGTGCACAGCATCATGTCTATTTTATAGCATACGTTAATTTCTTTGCCAAAGCTACATTGCACAAAACACTGGGTCATTCATAGAAACTTTAAAAACATTTTGCAAGGGAAATGTTTCAAAAGCCTGAAGCATGTCCTCTTAGAACAACACTGTCTTTTAGTCAAACGTGTAAGTATATAACATTTTGATCAAGTTTTCCTAGTAGTTGGTAGTAGGAAATGCTCAGCTTCCTAATACTTCAAAATTATGCCCCAGATGGCATTTCTTCACTGTGTTTTTACATACAACAGTCTGATCAAAAGTTCTAAGTCTCTTATTTTTCAAAAAATACCACAGTAAAGAAGTATTTAAATGGAGTTAACACAGCTATTGGCAATACAAAGAAGGATGCTTGTGTAATTTGCTATTGTACAATCTGGGGCATTTCACTCCATGCTTTGGCTTTCTTCTTGGCCAGGGATAGCCATGGTGGTTCAGCAGGGCTGCATGGTGTCAGTGGCAGGTTAGAGGAGTGTCTTGTTTCCTTTTCAACAGCAGGAATCACAGATGCTTCCTGAGCAATAGGTCCAACTTTACCTGCCAACAACAAGATATCCATCACTCATCAGAAGGCCAGAGAGTTAAAAGCTCAGTTTCTGCCAATAATACTTCCTTCTCTGTCAAGCAAATCATTTTACAGCCCAGAAAGTCTGTGACTCAAAAATAAAAGTTGAAGGAATTGTTGAACTGGGTATCACTGGCACTACCTGCTCCAGCTACAATGAAAGTTAGGACTAACTATTGCAATGGAAAAACTGACACTAAGCTGTTAGTTGACAATCTTCCTTTTAAATAATCTTCTCCTCAGTCCCAACAGCCAAGTGTGTAACCCCTGATATGTCAAGATGTTCATCAACATTCTTCAAATGTGCAGACTTTTGCCCCAGGTATTTTTACAATACATATTCTTGGCTAATTCATTTTTTAATCTTTTCAAACTCCTAATTGTCATGACAGTGCATAGCAAGAAGTTCCACGGGTTTATTCTGCTCTGTAAGCGGCAAGAAAATCAAATAAAGCGGCTCCTGAATGTGCAGGAAAACACAAACAAAATGTCTGGAGGGCAATGATCACCCCAGGCTCGATGAGGACTTAAAAGTAACTGGTATATGTTTCTCAACTCTGAGAAGTTTAAAGATCTACTTTTCAGTCTTCACTGCCAGCACAAATTCTTCTGCTCCAGCAATATGATTAAATACTAGGTAGCGGTCAAATGCTTTATGTTCTTGGGCTTGTAAGCCAAGAAGGCGGGACTCTGGTGGAACTAGGTGTTCCTTCTAATTGCAGCCTAACACAAGCCTGTCATCCTCACAAAGGACAGAAGACTGCAGATATGACTCCTTGTATGACTATTTAGAAAAGGCATCCTCCCTCCATCTTGCTTGAGAATTTTCAAGATTGGTATCTTCAGACAGCCTGGAATGGGGCTTTGTGGCAGCTGTGGGGCTCTGAACAGATGCAGCCTCTCATTTCTTGAGACATAGCTCACAAGTCTTTCAGCATTGTGCTCTCTCCATCCATTTCAACCCAGGCACTACTTTATTTCCATGTCTAAGTCAAGCTGGGTAAACACAAACCTTTTCTCATACTTATTAGCCTGCGTGTGGCATGTGGCAGGCAAGATGAGGCTGCTGTGCTCCAGCACAAGAACAGAGGCCACACACAGACTTGAGCAATGTTGAGTACAAGAAACTTGATCTTGCTTGCACTTAAATCAATGAAAAATGTCAGTCAGCTCTACCAGTCACACTCCTGATCAAAGCCAAAGAAGTTCCATATTGCTACTTAGGAGGTCTCTGATCTTTTAACAACCCTGGCTTGCTGGTAGTCCTTGCAGGAGGCAGGTTATACTTAGGAATACTGGAGGAAGTGTACCATCCATTAAAAACAGGCTGCAGCTCTACATATGCAGTAAATTTTTCAGAAAGGGATGTAGAAATTGAACTGTACTGAAAGTTTGAAAATGAACTTTCACTTTTTGGGAGAATTCCTTCTTTGTAATAAGCAAATATAAAACCCTACATGTGCTTTAAACAGTACAAAGTAAAACAAAACTCCAAAACAGTGACTCATCCCTATTTGAAGGCAGACAGACTTTGGGACGAACCTCACCATGCTTAGGGTGAAGTGAAAGAGAAGAGGCAAGCTAAGAAATCTTCACATGGTTATGGAAACGTGTGAACTTGGGCTGCCACAGAGCAATACCAAAACAGGCACGCTCAATGATGACATGGAGTTGTTCTGGCTTTTGCTGCTGTGTGCAGGATGTGTGCATTGCACACAAAACCTCAGCCACCCATCAAAGGAGAAGAAAATTGTTAATAGTTAACATAAGCCAAAAAGCAAAATCTAAATTAATAACTCCTCTGGATATTAAATTTACATCCTTTCCACAATCAGCACCTTCAACCAGACAAATTTCTATCTATGCTAATGGGAACCAAATCAGGAAAGAGGAGAGGTTACATTTGGGATTCCTTTTTTCCTACTCATGTGCTTACAGTGCTGAACATTTCCTAAGCATTAAGGCATGGTTTTCTGAGCAGTTGAGGAGTAGTGTTTTCCTTAAACATCAGCTATGGTTAGAGCTTTTTGCTGTATTCCAAGAGTGGAAGGCTAGACTATCCCTACAAATGCTATTATTGGAGGGGGATGTCAGGAAACTAGGCCAGCTCTTGGGGAGAGGTAATGCAGAAAATTTTTTAATTCTGCTGCAAGGCCTACAAGTGGTATGAGTTCTAGTAAATGAGTAGCAGTGCACTTTGTGCAGTTCTATATTGCTACTGAAAGCTTTGTGGCTTCCAAGGTTTGGATGATAAAACACATAGAAATCCAGCCTATTTGTGCCAGCCTTTCAAAGGAAGACTTCCTTTTAATCTGAGCAAAACTCTTGGCCTGTTTATGTCTCATCTCTTTCTTTGCACCTAAAACTGTAAGACGAAGTTGGCCTGTAAGAGAATCCTTCTTTTAAAAAAATATTGTACTTTCAACACACACACACACAAAAGACATCAGGTTAGCAGCTGACATCTGATCCTCTCTGCTGTTGCACATCCTCAGCTGGTCAGCTACCTGTAGTAAGGGAGAAAGCTTATGTTGTAGCACTTGTAAATTCCAAAAGGGACAAAAGGCCTATAAACAACTACTACGGGGAACAGGCAGCGATGTACTCTCTTAGTATTTCAAATACAACAATTCTGGGTGCTGGTGGATTAAAAGGGGAAAGTAGTCAGGTGCATGTGCTTATTCTAGACATCATCTCTTAGTGACAGGAACCTGGATCAGAAAAGCTACTTCTCTGACATAGTGCAGCATTTCTTATCTTCTTAGGCAGCATCTGAAATCAATGGTTTTCAGCTAGCACAAGATGTTTTTACAGCTGAAGACCTGGCTTATGTCTATCTAGCTGGAGTGTGTCTCTGAGGTTTGGCACCACACTGAGTAAGCAGGGAAGGATAAGTTGCAGCCCAGCAGTAGCCCTGGAAGAGAGATGTGAGTCACGATGTCTGAGTCACACTCTTCCCCTGAATCTTTCTTACAGAGAATAACAGTTACCAGGGCAGGAGAGGGGCCATTCAGACTCTGTGTTCACCCGAGGGTGGAACTGACTCTTACCTTTATAATTCTCGATGTATGTTTATCTAATCTTTTCTTAAACAAATCCAGCAATGGAAACTGAAGACCCTCTGTGTGCAACATATCCTATTCTGTACTTGAGTACTCTTATTGTTAGGAAGCTTTTCAACCTCTCCAATGCATTTTAAGCTCATGCAGGGCATAAAAATTAGTCTCTTCCTCTCTGCAGCAAAGTCTTCTTCTCTAGACTAAACAACTCCCACTCCCATCAGTATTTCCTGGCTGACTGTAGGCCTGGAAGACCCAACCTTTTTTGCTGTTCTTTTTTGGACACTCTCCAACTTCAACTGCTCCCTGGAAAATATTCTTTAGTATTGACCTTTGCCACTAATACATCACCATATTGTTTGTGTGCCATTCCATGAACTGGCAATGGAGATAAAAGTTCATCGCTTGCTTTCTCTGCTGAGTGAGCAAACCAATACAACAAATACATGTTATGTAATACATATAGGACTTATATGCAAACTACAGTCTGAACAGGCCTTATATAAAGTATGCTGATTATTCAGTAGGTAGCAATCTGCCCCCATTAGCTACCACTCTCACCACTTACTTGTGTAAATTATAGCCACTATGTAAAGATGTAACTGAACAAGAATACCTGCTGCAGCAGAAATACTGGTCTTCATTTGTGGTTTCTTATCCTGAGAGCTCAAGCTAGAAGACATATTCTTCTTCAGTATGTTCTCACTTGCACAGATCACTTGCTACAAAAGGAGGAAGAGAAGAAAAGAATGCAAATAAGAAACTTGCCAGCCAGTTGCTCTCATAAAGCCTGCTATTGGAGCCCTGGCAGCATCTCCAAGCCTAACTGTGGAAATGCAGCAAAAGCTAGACAGGAAAAGTTGGGTGCATCCTATGGTAGGGAAAGACAGAGCAAGAAAAAAGACAGCTGTTACAAATAGAGGATTAGTGCACATGTAAGCAAGTTTTCCTCGCTCTCTGACAGATGGGGGATTGAAGGGCTTGCCCAAGGGGCACAGGGAATATATGCAAGAGACAGTGGAAAGGCCAGACCTTCAGTACACAGTTTCTGGAGCACAACAGCAAACGCTGTCTGTAGGTCACCAAGAGTGAGGAAGCTGCTGCAACTCACAGCAACTCTTGGACTACATAAATACATTCTGGGCAATAAATGAGCCCTGAAAAGGTTCAGGTCTGAATAATGAAAGAGGACATATAACCCAGCTTTGAAACTAACCACTAATTCACACAGTATAGTCACACGTTTGTTTATTTATTTGTATCAGTTATCTGTCTTAATAGATTTCTAAGACCAGTCCTAAAAATCAGTTTCAAGTAGTGCTAACAACCTGCCTCACATCAAGATGTCAATGAGCAGCGTGCACAAATACCCACACGATCTGGTCCAGAATTCACACCCAAGCAACTTCACTTGGTACTCTACCTCCTCTTGATCCACTTTGGTTGACGCTTTGTCTTCAGCTTTATGTTCTTTGGCAAGTGGGTGGCCCTGGAAACCCTTTTGTTTTAGTTTTGCCATGGAGACCCAAGCCGGTTCAGAGGAATAAGTTTCCAAATGTGGAGAGGAGACTTTTTCTATAAAAGAAGCATTTTTGAAGTAAAGAAGGGATTTAGGTCAAGTCTGTCTGAAGCTAAAGTGTTTTGTATTTTAAATCCTTCAGCATCTGTAACACTCTTTGAACACTGCAGAGATAAAATTACCTTCCCTGATGATTCTGTCCTTGGCAATAACTGTTTTTCTGTTTATTCTGGAGTTTTTGACCTGACTCTGCTTCCGCTTAAGTCAATGGCAGAACTCCCACTGAGATCATTGTGAACCGGATTTTGCCTTTGAAAAAACATCCTTACATTGCAAATTAAATGAGTAAGATAACCATTCTTTTTTTCATGTAGGCAGTAAAATACAGGCTGCCTTTTCACTTTTTAAGTATTTTAAATTAAGTGACTGTAGGGAAAAAAGATCACACCTAAATGCAACTCCTAGTTAAGGTTTGAGTTGTTTCAGTCTGGAAAAATAACTACAAAACAGAAGCAGGTTTTAAAAAGCTATATTAAAACTCCAACTACATGCAGAAATAGGTTGTACCAGAAATGTTTCAGATGCCCTTAAGCTATTATTCTGTTATTGTTCTTGCTGGAACACACCCCTCAGTAAGATAAGCCAAGAATTCTCTTGACTGACCAAATGATCAAGCTATTAAATTTCAGTGCTAACAAACTCAAGGCTGAACTCAGTCCTTTTCAAGAGGATTTCTATATCTCGTTTGCCATTCTGTCAAGGGTCTTATATAATCACTGTTTTCTACAATGTTTTAATAAAAATACGATATAAATACCTGAAGGTTTACTACCATTTTGCTTCTTTGACACTTCTTCTGATCTTGTTTTGGGAGGACTTCTGTCTTCTAGGAGATCTGTTTTTTTAACAAATGATTTTGTGCTGACTGGAAGGCCTGGAGGTGGCTTCCCATTGCCCCCTGACTTCTGATCCTCCTTGGCTGAAGCAGAAGAAGCAGTGGGAGCAGCTGAGGGAATCAGCTTTGGAGACTCAGCACGGTTTTCATTCTGGTATTTGAGTAAAGAAGATGTTCTCCTCAGTTTGACCCCAAACGGATTTTCAAAATTTTGTGCTTCACGGTCAGCCCATTCCATAGAATAATTCAAATGCAAATCACCATCCTTACAGTCTCGATCAAATCCATCCGGGTTGTTTTTTGTGGATTCCTGGATGCCTGCATATTCTTTTGTCATTCCTTCAAACAACTCTGGTTTTATAGGGGAGGTTGGAGAACTTCTGTTATAGGAATCTTCCTTTGAATTTGAACCCCCTGAGAGAGATCTCTGCCATGCTGGTGCAATGGTAAATCTAACTGGTTTAGCAGCCGCAGTCTTTAGCGGACTTTTTACATTTTCTTCTGAAGATCGACTGTCTTTCTCTGTTTTTCTGTGAGAAGCTGTACTGCTTACCTGCTCCTTACTGTCATCGTTAGAAGAGATATTACTCTTTAATCCAGCCAAACTTGAAGAAGCAAGACATCCAATTGAAAGTTTTTCAGAAGTGTATGATGTGCTGGTTTGTTGACTGACTTGGTTACCCTTTGAAGCAGGACAAGGTATTTCTGCTTTAAAACTTTCATCCAGTTTACTGGGAGGTAGCATGCAACCTGCTTCTAACACAGATGCAGCAGTGTCTTGTTTGTTTTCTGCACTGCCTTTGGATGACTGAAATTCCATAATTTCATGAGTTTCTTTGTCTTTTCTTGTTGCTGAACTGTTTTCAGACTTCAGAACAGCCACTGTCTTGATGTCAGAAGGAGGCCCTGAATCAGCTAGAGCAACCTGTGAAGTGCTCTGTGCAGTATCTGAGACAGACTGGTTAGAACAGTTCTGAATAGTTTCCAGGCAAGCTTCTACTTTGCCAATACACAGTGCATCCCCCTCTCTCTGGTCTTCGTTATTTTGGTCCACAGATTTTGCTGGGGACCTTTGCACAACATCTGCCAATACATTTATGGTCTCTGTTTCTGTGCCATTACTAAACAAGTCAGCTGCTACTATGTCTGGAAGTGCAACAGCTCCAACTTCAGTTTGTTGAGATTTTGGAAGTGCAGATACTTCAATATTGGTATTTTGCTGATGTAATGTCAATTCACCAGCAGACTCATCTGAACAGCATGGCACTTCTGCACTGTGCTGTTCCTCCAGGTTCTCTGGAGAAGGCTCAGGTCTCAGAAGGGGTGCAGCTGATTTATAGCCGTGGTCCATGTCTGGCAGGCATTCACTTTCTTGCAGCAAAGTACAGAAGTCTTCTGCCACAAGCGTGGATTCACAGGAGTCAGGGGCAGCATCAGTGGGACATTTTACACCTGGTGTCTCCTTAGAACCGCTTTCCTTTGCACCATATTCCACCTGGGGTGATAAGCCTGTATTAAACAAAAGAGAAGTGCAAGGTTACAATTCAAGCACTGTTTGTATCAGTAAGTCATTTCAGATATGCAGCCATTTAGCATTATTTCCCCACATTTGGCTGCCAATATCTGAGAAATACGGCTCTTGAAAGCACATTTAGAAACGGACTGCCCAGATAAGAAAAACTAACGAGAGTTTGTAGTTTGAATATACCTAATGCCAGGAACCACTGAAAGTTGTTGTCAGCCTAAGGTGTACCAAATCAGTTGTTGTTTAGTTCTTTTTTTGCACATATTTAAGGCTAACATCTGGATTTCCCTAGGTATTTCTTCATGTGTATGCCTAGAAAGGCTGCCTAGAATGATTGGGATGATTTTATGTATTTGAGCAGAACACCTCAGCATCAGGTAGCTCTGCCTCCTGGAGCTCCAGCAGGGCTACAGAACATCCGGATAGGTTTGGTATATCCACACATACAAACTCGAATGTGTCTGTGAAGCAGGCTGAGGGACTACTGCGGTGATCTGTGCACACAGAATAAGATCAGCAACACTTCTGAGGGCTGGTGTTACCCTTTATCAGCTGTACCATGCATTTAAAGTAAATCCAACCCTCCCTGAGTAGCTGAGAACCACCAAGCTGCCCTGACACTCATTCCTCTGAATCAGCAGAAATCCTCAGTGCTTCAGATATGTAAATGACAGATGCTAGCTTCCTGGGATAGGGCATTTAATATCTCACAGCATCAGGTCCTGAGTCTGCCCCAAAAACAAGATGCCAACACATTTCCACTACAGTATAGCATTACCATCAGCTAGCGTATTTGTAATATGGTGCTAAAGGTAAAAATCTCTGTGCTGCTTTGGAGAAATTTCAATCGTTTTTATAATTTACAATTGTTTTAACACTGGTAACTAGTTATTATTCAAATGATACGAGGGGAGGCAGGAGAGGAAGATCTGTTAAACAAGCCAATTAAAGTCATTTTGAACACATAACATACAATGCTGAGGTTAATTTTTTTCTGAGTTTCAAGGAACTCAGGTCCCCAAACAATGTGTTCTAGTCAACGATGTAGCACAAGTACTTCTGAACATGCTACATTCACCTCCCTTATTATTTTTTTTTTAATGTTGCACTCAAAGTTCACTATTTCAGCACCATATTGTTGACTGGAATACATAATTTTTCCCTTCATCACACTTTAGTAGGCAGGATTGGTTTTATAATCTAAAACCAAGAAGTTGCCTGGTTTGACAGGACTTTCAGTCCAAATAGGTCCTGTTAACCTTTTGTAGAAGAGTTCAAACCATTATCTTTGCAATTCATAAATTTGCATTACCTTCCCAATCAGTTTTATGCTGGTCACTCTCAGGTAGTTCTGTTGAATTTCCCTTCTTTTCTGGAGTTGCATGAAGACATGCTTCATTTTCCAGGTGTTCCACCTAATGAGAAACAGAAAGATGTTCTAAGAATAATGCACAGAAATTGTATTTTATCCATACATGGACATTTATGAATACACAAAACATGTAGCCACAAAATCTCTCCTGTAATTTTTACCAGTGCTGTGGGTAATGTGTTATTCCAGTTAAGAATCTAGAAATCATTCATGTTTTAAAATGTGAAAGGCAGCCCACTGATCTCTCTTGAATCCCTGAAACACTCTGAGATTCACATATTCTAAGAGAATGAACATGTTTTGAAGACATCACCCTAGCTACCTGGTGGCAGAGAACAAAGCAAGCCAGAGACATCACCATCAGCAGTTCTGATATCTCTGATTGCACCTCCACAATTAGCTTTTCTCCTTCAGCACTACAGTTACACCAGCTGCAGCACAAAGAATATCCAGCAAAGACGCTGTAGGGCTCAAGTTTCCAAGAAAACCTGATTCAGGAAAAATATTCTACTCTTCCCGATTTTCCTTTGCTCCCTTCCTTCCTTGAGGCAGGGTACTTCTAACTCCAGGACAGATTTTCATGCATGGTTCTCTGACAGGGAGGGGAACGTGCAGTATAGAAGAGTTCCTCCTTATTTCCTCACATTCCAGCTTGATTCTAGCCTTTTCTGTCTGGTGAACTTAACCTTCAATGTTTCCTAGAAGTCAGGATAAGATGCATCTCATCCTAATTTCTATTTTCCAAAGAGTCTCTCATCCCATTGTCACACAATTTTACTTTCCAGGGCCCCTGAAGAGATCTCAAGGCTTGCTATGTTCATTTGTTTTCATCCATCTCAGCAACAGATTCCTACACAAGCAGAGGCACAGCCCTTCCTAAGACCCCTCACTCTTTCCCTTGACATATAATGAATTAAATTAATCTGAAATTGTTTGTGGAAATAGGTTTGGGCTTGCTTAAAACTGAATAGTAGCTTTTCAAACAACACAGATGTTTTTACAAATGAAATGTAACCTGTAATGTTGTTGACTAAGTAATGAAAAACAAACAAACAAACAAACATCAATTTGCACTTTTATTCGGCTCCTTTTAAATTGAAATAACACTTCTGGTTTGCTGAAAAAAATAGGTGGTTTGCTCTCTTCCAACAGAAGAAGGAAAAAAGTAAAAAGACATGAGGAGGAAAGAAAAAAAAAAGAGAAAATAAAATAAAAAACACTTTTTTTTTTTTTTTTTCCCTGCACAGTGATTCTTTTCCAGAAAAGACTTACCTGGGTTTGCTGATTCTTATTGGTGAAGCCTTTCTGTTTCCGAGGATTTATGGCAATCCTGTGCCTGGCTGCTGAGGTGTCCAGGCAGCCCAGGGGACTGGCAGGGATGGTGAAGTCAACTGGAAGGAAGCTGCTGCCTCGTGAGCCAGGGGCCCCGAGAGCAGCAGAGGATGAAGGACTGATAGGCCTGGAGGAAGCTCCAGAAGGTATCTATAAAAACACAAACATGGCATTATACTTTTTGCTCAGCTTCTCCACATTTCTGTAAGCTTACTCCCCTTCAGAAGCCTGAAATAGCTGTGTTTTTGGTCATAAATCCTTACTTTGAAAAGCATGTCTAATGTTGTCTCTGCACAGAAATTACTTGGTTCTGTGTTCAGCTGTATGTTACACAGAAGTGAGAAATACCTGTCTCATTCTCTCTCACAGTAAGAGCCTCAGCTGTCCCCTGCCCAGTCACTATCTGAAAAGCCATTTGCAATATATGCCTGCACCAGCAGGAGACACTGGTGCAGTTTTTATAGCTGCCTTTTCTTCCTGATAATGAGACACACTGCAGGAATGCGTTATTAAAAAGCCACAAAAGTACCAGGGGTACTTTCTCCTTATTATCTCTCAGAAAGTTACCACACCACTTTCCTCTTAATATCCACTCTCCCAGAAAAAAACAAACAAATGTTTCTCTCAACAAGTGTCCCAAAACCATTGTCCAGATAGTGATGTGGGTCTCATCCTCACACCAATGCTGCTCTGGGGGACTAAGCAGCAAGAACCTTAGATTACACTGTGAAAAGAAAGGCTTTACAGAAGTGTTTGTAGAGAAACCCCTAACCATTGCAGTTTGACTAGTTTTGTTACGGTTTTTAAGTGTTGACCACGCTTTTGCAAAATTTCACACGTGCCCAACATGCTTCACTCAGTATAACACACCTGCTACATTGCCTTTGGCCAAAGAGCCAGGTAAAACAGCCATTTAACTGTGCTTGACCTTTGAATTCTGGTTTTCTTTAAGCTTAAGGTACAACACAGAGTTTGCAACATGTATGCTGATAAAGGTTTGAAGATAATGAAAGTATCTTGCCAACTAACCTACAAAAAGTCTCTAGGTACAACACTTTGTGTTTAAGGTAACTACAACTAATTTCCTTATTCTCTATTGATTTATTTTTTTTTTAATTCCTAGGTCTGAAACAAATCCCAACAGAACGTATTATAATAAATATAGATTATTCTCATGAAATATTTACACAAGATGAAAAAGAGAAAGAACATGTCTAGTTAATAAGTTATTATTATAGTTCTTGTTAATCTTGTTAATGAGCTATTACTACAGTTCTACAGAATTAATGCTAAACCTGTAAGGATCACTAGAAATTACAAAAATAATAATAGCTACTCATTTCTATATACAAGTTATTCTGTCTTCCAATTACAGAATTAATCGTTCTGTTTATTTAATGTACAAACCACGTGCAACTAGTATCTGAGCCACCACTGCATGTACATGGCAAGTTCCCTACTCCACTGAGGATTTCCACTGTTTTTTTCTGAGCACTGACAGTTGGTGTCTTCTCTCAAATACAGGGGAGAAGAGACAGACTTTCCACATTTGTGTTTGAGTGTAAGATAAATTTGGTATTTGTTGGTTATTGCATACAGGACGCTGCACACAGAGAATGCTGCAATTAGGAGGCAGATATCCTAAAGAGTGTTTGCGCCAAAAAAATGTCCTCAGCCCCAGATGCTGAGACCATGCTTTGTTTTTAATCAGCCTGGGTTGAAGATACCAAGAAGGAAGTTAGATTTCTGTAAAGGCTATTTGGCAAAGGCGGTATAAACACCAGTTAATGTCTCTGTGAAGTCACTTGATGATGGCTTTAAGTGACAGCTCCACATTTATCTCCAGTTAATCAGTAAATGGGTGTCTATTAATGTGGAAAGCACAGAGAATTTCATGGGTGAGACAAGCATCAGGGTTTTCCACAGAGGCAGCAGCAGCATGAAGGTCCTTGAAAACCCAGCAAAGTAACACAGAGAAAAAACATTAAGTAACTCTTGTCTGCATCCAAATCAATACAAGAGTAAAACGTAAATCACTGCATTGTGTGTAACTTCAAATTGCTTAGGATCCAATTCTCTTCTTCCTCTACTAAATATACAACATTGCGAAATGGAATAAGGTGTAGAGTTGTTGGTGCTCTTCAACATTTTCCTCATCTTTGGGATAAGGTTATTTAATGTAGCAACTTCTGCAAGTTCAAATCCTGGTATTACAAAAATAGCTATAAATGCTACTAAAAAAAAAAAGATTTTTTTTAGGATTTTTTTTTAAATATATATATAAACATGTTGGGATGACTAAGAAAAATATTTGGGTAAAGGAACAGATGCTGCAGTATTGGGACGCTAGCCAAATCCCTAAAGGGAAGACCCTTTAAGGAGGGGAATTCTGTGCAAAAAAGTTTTCTCACGTCCCTGCCTTTTTTTCTCATAGGGAATGAGGATGTAGGACTGAAAGCACTCAAACTTTAGTACCAGAGAAAAAAGGGCTTTTTATACAGTAAGTAAAAAAATGTATGCAAGCTTACAAAAGGGAGTATTTTAGTCAAAATATAAAATAGGAGATGCATTAATAACATGTACACTGAAGTAACAATAAAATATGTAAATTATTAAAAAGTAATGACAATCTAAGTTACCCAGATCAGCTGAGGCTCTAGGGTTGTCTGACCAGCAGTACACTCAGAGAGGGAGACATGACTTTATCTTTCTATCCTTAAAGCAAAAGATCTAGGGATTGACCAAGCAGGAAAGTATCTGATCTCAACCACGGACAAGAAAGTTGAGCTGGTCTGCTCAAAGGCTGCTCTCTCCCTTCTCAAAGGCTGGCCAAGGAGAATATGGAAAGGAAAGCTTCCTCGGCAGTGGGGTTAGCTCTGTTTGACCCTTGAAAGCATGAGCTGAGCAGGAGCTCAGCTCAGCTTCAACCAGCAGGGACAGTCAAGGTGAAAGTCACCTAGACATCTCTCCAAAAATAAAACCTCAGTACATTTTTCCAGGCTGGTCAAGGAATAGAATGTGATGGTCTGACAGCAGAACCTGCTGCTTCTGACAGTCGTTTGCAATCCAGAGTGAAATTTGAATTAACACAGACCTTTTCCTGTGGAATACATGGTGCCAGAAATGGCAGATCCTGTAATTCTTTCCAGCGATGAGAGAGAAGCAGGACACTGCTCACAAGCCACTGCCAACAGGGAGGTGCACTCAATAAGCTGTATGTGCTGGTGTTATTTGGGCACTGGGATATGGAAGAGGAATTGAAGTGTTTTGCTTTCCTACTATGTTATGCAGTTTTCTGTTGTGTAACTTTACAAATTCACAGTGTGTTACAGAGCTGACTACACTGTTCACACAAACCTCTTACCAGTAGATTTCTGCCTTTCTTTATTTGGTTCATATTCGAAACTCTGCAAGAGTGTGATTTCAGTATCATTTGCATCACTCTCGACTGTTCATGAACGGTTTGCTACAATATATTCTACCCAGAACAGATAAAATGAATACTGCACTGGCTTGATATAAACACCATACACACTGACTCGGGAAAGTTCATTAGCAGGAAGAGTAGCTATTTACCTGTTCATCTTCACTGTCTGTCCCGCCTAAACTCAAAGAGCTATGACGCTGAACAGGGTTGGAGGACTGTGGGATAAAATAAGGAAAAGGGTAAATCAAAGGAAGTATCACACTGAATTACGTGGAACTGGATATACAGTACTGATTATGAAAAAATACAAGAGGAAAGACTAAGGAAGGGTCACTGGAAAGTCCCTGCCTCACAGGGTAGGTTTCATTTGTTCACTGGAGATCAAAGTAGGAGAACTTTATCCTGCTGTGAGATATGCGTTTAAGGTCGACCACAAAGAACCAAACACTGTGCTAGACATATATACAATACAGCAACAAACACTTTAATGGGGAATTGAGCCAATACATTGTTTAGTTATTTTGTATTTTGGCTTTTGTTTTAAGATCTTCAAATTTACAGATGCTTACATACTCACTGAAATCCAAAATTATGCATCTGCTGTAGAAAGGCAGTTCTGAAGAAAGAACTAACCCCAAGACTCTCTTTGAGCCCCATCAACACCTACTCACACCAGGCTAATAGGATTTTCACTTTTCACCTGTCAATTCAACTAACATTGTCCTGGTTTTGAGCTAATTCATTCTAAAAGCAGTAGTTTTTTAAGATTCTTCTGCAGCTTTCAGTTATTTCTGTATTCCTCACTAGCTTTGAAACATCCCAAACCTCTTCCTCTTTCACAAGTGCAGGAAACTGCCAATGTCTCCAGCTCTTTGGAGCTCAAAGACATGGGAAGTTTGTGCAGTGTGTGTACCTCAGCTTGTTCTCAGACTGGAAGTAGTACAGTCACAGTCACACAACACTCACATGTAAAAATTTCACTTTTTATACTTTCTGCCATACAGACCTGCCAGGAGACACTGCGTTGACCAAAAGCACTCAGTTATATCAACGGACTTTTTCTCCTCTTTCTCTAATGATATAGGTCACAGCTGCCCTAGCACAGATCTACATAAAACCATAGAAAGCTGTACTCAGGAGTATTTGTAAGGCCAGTTCCTAGCTATCCCTCATGGTGATGAGTCCATAATGCACTTAAGTAATTCATTCTACTTCTGACTGATTTGTTCTATCAAAAAGTGTCTGGCAGGAGGAAGAGCTTTTAAACCACAAGACAGTTCATTAGTACAAACAGACTTTAATGAACCAAAGAATTATGCTAATTCCTCATTCACAAATGTTGGCCTGAAATGAATAACTCCTGTGGTGTTCTACACAAACATCATGTCACAATACCAATGGACTGCATAAAAGAAAATGAATGAAAAATGGCTTTGAAACAGATCTTTGTGGGTATAGAGTAAAAGGTGTTCCCATTCCCCAGATAGATTTTATTTTTTTCAACGCAGGATGTCACTAAAGTGACGTAGTGATTGTACCTTGCTTGTTGAATCTGTCAGAACTTCATGAAGGGTTGAAATTTCAGGAGGGCTTCTAGGTAATCCATCATCTTCAGAAACAGCACCTGCATCTTCCAGTCTCTTTCCAGTTATAACTAGAGGAGGTGATCCAAACCTGATGTTTTGCTGCAACTGAAGCTGTGATTGAAAAGAAATTTAGACTTTCAATGGCATTCTCTACAGGGGACACTTTGGACGCTTTTATCCCAGTTGTTCCTATTATACATGCAGAATCTTTTATTTAACAGAAATATTTGAAGTTACAGACTATTCACAGGAAACAGCCATTAATTAGATTTTATTTAATTGCTCTCATCAAGGACCCATCATTAGAACAGACTTCTGTACAAAACTAAATTAAAACCAGTTTTATTCAGTAAATTATCAAAGACAAATTTTACCATGCCAGAAAACTTAGACGATTTTTAATATGTTTAAATGTAAACTTTAAAAATTCTTTTAGATTTAAGCATTCTTTAAATGATAACATGTATCAGGACACACATATAACCCCACAAAGCACTGTCAGTCCACAGTTCCCAACCCCAAGTTTATGTGGACAACTTTCCTTCCCAAAGCCCTTCCCCAGATATTGTCAGTGTGTCACTACCTCTGTCACACAATTATCTGAGTCCCACTTCTTATGTAAAGACAACTTAATTCAATTCTGGTCCACCCGAATGAATTGCTTGTTAGTTTTCTCCAGCATCACATCCTGGTCCTGTCTACAGCAAGAATGATAACAACAGCCAGGAACAACTTTGTTTGTGAAGGAGTATAGAGTTTCTTTTCCAAGATTGCACAAAAAAATGCTCTGGCAGGCCCTGACCCTAGAAAAATCAAACAAAGTCTGTAACCTCACAAGCAGCCAGATGTTCCCTCAAACTAAAAAAGTTCAAAACTCAGGAAACACCATTACAAAAACTCTTGGCTTAAGCTTTTCAGCTATGTCAAAGCTGGAATACAGACAACGTCTGAACAGAATCTTTGTCCTTCAACTACAAATGTCTCATCCAAATATCCCCTAGATAAATATACAGACCTGCTTTTTCTGGTCCTTTGCTTATTAAACCACATTTGGAAATTCTAGGCCTAATTCTATGCTGTTTTGCAAGCTATGCATTCATTTCTATCTCTGCAAAATAAATCTAAGCAGCTGTCATTCTTATTCAGTGAGATTCACTTGGAACATAACTCCTATAGCTACACAGGGTACCACAATGTCATTCTTTTATCCTTCAATCTCCCTGTTTAAACAGCTTTCTTGCCCTCTTACCTGCATTAACGAAGTAAATTTCACCAATACAGTCTGCAAAAGCAGGACTGATGACAAACTGCACAAAGATTGCAATACATGGGCAAAAAGAAGTAAGACATACAACATATCTGCCTTTCATGGGAAGGAAAACACAGAGAGTCAGTTCTGCTCTCCTCTCTTTTCACAACTTCCCATCTTTGATTTATTAAATTCATTACATGTAGACAGCAAAGTGTTACAGTAAGAAACTTTGAATTTACAGTCTGTCTGCTACTGGTAGAAGTCTACATTGCTAAGAAAATATCAGCTTTTGTTAGTGCTTGGCTTTTAGTCTGACAAGTGTCAAGCACACAGAAACAGACTGTCCTTTATGGCTATGAAAATAGTGCTGGCAGTATTAAGTCACCATGGAGGATGATGCACGGATGAAGAGAGGGCACAGTGGGATGGAGATAGCATGAAAAGAGCTTTTTTTCCCCTTGATGGAGTTCTGTCATATATAAACATGACTTCTCCTGCCTCTCCTATTGTTATGCATAAAATACCCTGAACTGAAGGTTGGCTTATTTTGCCTCCTTATGGATGAACAAGTCCCTCTGTGTGTCCTTTATTACTTAATATGTGATGCAATTGTGTTTTGCAACATGAAGCCCACACAGGGCAAAGGAAGAATTTCAATAGCCTTTGGCTGCCTTTTATCAAGAGTTTGTTTTCAGTCTCTGGAAAAACCTTAAACTTTTATCTCAGTGCTCTAAGCTGGGCAGTTATTTGAATGCAATTAATAAAACCAACAGTTGATAAGGGAGCTGTCAAGGAGGGTTCGGTATGTGCCTTGGAAGAAGGAAATGACCTAGCAGAATACAGTATCCTTTGCTGGCAGAGAGCGGAAGAATAATGATATAAATAAAGCTGTCACTAAGAATGCCCTGACATATCCATCATCACACACACTTACACAGCCCCTGGTGCTAGCATATTCTGTGAAAACATCGCAGCTAGACGTTCAAAAAAGAAATGCCTTTATAACGAATAACAGTGTAAGGGACACTCTGCAGTATAAATAGCATTAGTCCAAAAACAGTAGCTCTGAAGTAAAGAATAGGAATCCCACTGGAAGAGGACATGCTCATTAAGGAAAGATCCAGCTCACGGATTCTTGGAAACATCTCAGTTGTACGTTATAGGACCTGGGCAAGGCTTAAAGCTCCAAAAGTGCTCAAAGAAGCAACTTCCAAGAGGCAGAGCAGATCCAAAAGCAGTCATTCTGTTTGGCTTTGGACGCTTCAGTCAACAAAGTCTTACAATGCACAGCAGCTAATACAAAGCAGCACCACAAATGAGGGAAAGATGTTCTCACCTGCAAAGTTTTCACTCTTCCAGGTATGTTTTCCTGAGATGACACGTCCCCTGCCACACCTCCTGGTACAGATTCAAAAATGAAGACGCTGTCATGCGACAAGGCTTTGTTTCCCATGCTTCCTTTGGGCCTGGAAGGGACGAGAGTGGTCACTGCACTGCGTATAGCTCTGAGACTCCTTTGCACCACATCACCGTGGTGATCATAAAGAGACCAGGGTGAGATACATCCCACTTCAGATTTGTGCATGTTAGCTGTCTGTGGCAGTCACTGCTAGCTCCTTCTACACTCAGAAGGGAGGAGGAAGAACATTTAGGATGCTGATTGAATGGAAGTGTCTACTGTATGATGTAAGTAGTACCTGTATTGAATGTGTGGCTAAGTCTCTGTGAGCTAGCAAGAGGACCCAAGGTATTTAGGTGCTGCCAACATGTAATTGGACACTTCCAACCCTCAGGGAAGCCTACAGGGCAATGGAGGGCCACAAAAGTCCCGTGCCCTCTTTTGGTAGGAATGGATCCAGCTTGCGATGTTCCAGATGCAATCTCTGCAGGCTCGTGTTGTCACACCTGCCAAGGACTGTATTGTTTCTCCCATTCTTGCAAATGCTCCCAGAAAATGTAATTCCACTACAGTAACAAACTTGATTGATATCTTCTTGGGTCCAGCAATAAATACAGTTCTGTTTACCTGTATCATGAACACCACCAGATCCCAAACATATACCAAATAAAGATGGGACAAGCATCCAAGGCCACAGCTACATAGCCATGGCCAAATTAGAGTAGCCAGGTAAGATATCACTGTCCTACTTCTATGTACACTGAGTGGTCAGCCCAGTGAAGCACAGATGAGTTCCAACTACATCTGTTAATTGAGTTATAATCAACTGAGATTGATTGGGGTTGGTCTGCTGGCGCTGTGCAGGACATATTTTGCACTTGGGTAGCATGACAAGGAAGGCTCCAGATCTTTTAGTCACCAAGTTCCACAAGCGTAGGCGCACTGTCTGTACATTATTTTGTCCAAAAGACCACAAGTATGGCCTCTCTCAGGATTACATTCTGGGACTTAACTGGGAAACAACAGAATACTCGTGTTGTTGGCTGCCAGCCTTATAACCTCCAAATTACAAGGATTCTTTGGCTCTGCTGCCTCCCAGGTTACGCCCACTGCTTCTGAAAGTTTCACTCAGGGTAAGAGAAGACAATTAGAAACAAAACTTTGACAAGGAAAATCCAGTAAGTCTAACAGCCTCCTACAAGGAAACAAAATAGAAGGGGGCTCTTATTTGCCTAGTCTCACATTCTCTCTTTAATTTAGAGGAAAGCCCTGAAAGACAGTTAACTTTGATAATGTAAATATGACATATTAAAAAAACAACAATAAAAAAACACAAGTTACTCTTTTTCCTCCTGCATCTGCCTCCTGCATCCTGCATACAGTTATGCCAAGTCTCACAGCAGGGCAAAATAGCTTTTCTCTATGTTTGTGTCGTGTCCAAGACAGCCTGAGCTCTTTCTATCACAGCACAGGTCAGAGTTCATGCTTCCTCTCACAATATGTACTAGTCAGTGTCTGTGATGATGTATAAGGCAGCAATTCTACGCACCAGTAAGCCCTTCTCTTATTTCATCATTAAAGTGAATAAAGCAATCACATGTTTCTTTATGTTAGATTTTACAGAGCCATTTTCAGCATGAAAGACACTCTACATGGGCAAGACAATAGTTTTGCTGCATTCAGTCATTTTCAGCATGAAGTACACTGTACACAGGCAAGACATAATAACTGCTGCATTCAGAAAGCCAGTGTCACTGAGTTTTTATTTACCGTAAAGTATATTTGTTATTAGCTGTTTTTTTTCTTATTATTATTATTTATTGCATGGAATGCACATGCATTAGGATATATTAACCTTTTCCATCAGGCATTTCCTCACTTCTTTTACTTGGAATTGTTTAGTAATAAAAGCAGAGGTTTCTTTGTTCTTGAGTCTGTCAGTGCAAGACCTGTTTCTTTCTTTCATTCTTTCTTCCTTTCCTTTTCTCTCTACATATACATCATGATGGTTGGACTTGATATTGAAGGTTTTTTCCAGCCTAGATGATTCTATTTGCATTTGCAAGAGAATTACTGTATTTTTGCCTGGCAGTGGCAAAAAGAGCATTGGATTAAATATAGAATTAACTGCAGCTTTAGTAAAGATGAGTCTTTTATGTGCAAACATACATTCATGTGTAATTCCAGGCAGTGTATTTATATTTGCACTGATGTTTAAATGCACTGTTAAACACCCAGATGTTTTAGCTCCCATATTTCCAATGCTGGCTTCCCCATACAAATGCTCACTGAGTTCAAATGTAGCACCCCTCAAGCTGCTGTGCTTGAGGAAATGGTGGGACTCTCAACACAATGTGCTTTAACCTTGCCATCACAGAAGTTTTTCCATTTCCATTCAAAACTCAAGCCTCTCAGAAGACAAAGAGGCAGTGGCATGTAATGCTCCCTTGTCCTTCACAGATGACCAATCCCATTGATTCCCTGCAGCACCACGACATCTGAGCACATCCCTTTGGCTTCTTCAAGAAACATTTGGCACACCTAAGGGTTTGGTCTCTGGTTAGTATTAAAAAAATAAATAAATCTTAAAAAGATCACATGATTTACAAAAGAAAAAAGAAAAGGTGAAGAAGAAAGAGTAAAAGAAAACAAGTGCTTCTGCCTCAAGAACAAAGATACAGCAGCATTGTTTTAGGATTGTCTTTGGTATTCTGTATGCCAGGAATTGCAAAGAACAGGGCCTGACTATAAACCCTTCAAATCTGTATTTCCACTGGCTTTCAGGATCAGGTCTTCCAAAGGATTAGGCTGTTCAGACTCTCTTGGTATCTACAAAGTGTGCTCATACCATGCAGAGCCTGGACACAACAGGGTTTTCAAATAGGGAATACAAATTTACCCTCTCTTTTTTTTTTTTTGCATCAGTCCATCCAATCCTATCTCTAAGGGAAAAAACAGAGTGGTTTTACTCATTTCCTGATCTCTGGTCTTATAAAACAGTTTTAAATCACTGGAGGATAGTGCTGAGGTAAACAGCAATTGGACTTGAAGTACTTGGTTAAAGGAAAGACCAAAGAGTTCTCAGCCATGTAGCTTCTGGATCTGACAGCTGATTTTAAGCCAGACTCCTCTACGGGCTCTTGGTGTAAGCTCAGCCATTTCTAAGCCTTTTGGACTGGGTCAGCTGAGTCTCTATAATTCCCCTTGCCCTAGGGACTGGTTGTGTTATGTATTCTGCTGCTGTTACGCTAACAAACAAATTGAAGAGATTATTTGTTTCCTTAAACCCAAATCATTTTTATGATGCAGTGGTATAACAGAGACAGTGAGGAAAGGTGGGGCAGGGAGGCACAAGTACCCTTGAGAAAGTAACGCCTACAAGTTGCTCCACCAAAAGAAACCAGTAGTGTCCAGCTGCACCTAAGGTCTCATTGATGATACACTGCATTTAGCAGCAACGTTGATTTCAGCATCTAGTCACCCACTCGTGACCTCTGCCACTGTCCAATGTCCCCTCCAACGACGCACTGCAAAGTGTGGGATGTGGCCAGCGTGCCATCACATTAGGTTAGTCTGTAGCTCCACAACCCAAGGCCTAAGATATACCAAAGAGAAGCCTCAGCAGCTATCAGGGGAGGTGGGGAAGGCTGGGAAGCAGCCAAATTACAGGCTGCAAGATACCAATCCATGACACCCCTGGTGGGAGACAGCCACGTTCAGAGGGTTGTCCACCCTAGATACAGAATAGTTCCTATTACAGTAACTGAAAGGGACAAGTTTCAGAATGGACACCATTCAGGGACCTGAGAATTGTTCTGCACACACCTTGAGGACTGACAAACCTCACTCGTGCTCAGCCCTTCAGGGTGGCTGACACAAAACTCGAGGCCTTCTGTTGTTCTCTGTACAGAAACGGCAGCATAAAAGTTAAACTAAGCAGAAATCTCATTCTGAGAACACATCACACTTTCCGTTCTCCCAACCACAACAGAGAGCACCATTTATGCTAAAAAATAGCAACTCAACTTTACATTTATTCTCTGTACTAGCAGTACTCAATCATCCTTCCTTGTAAAGCTACTGATGATCAGATCTTCCAAGACATATTTCAAAAACTAAAACTAATCAAAACAATCTGGGCTATCTGCAGTTTTACAGAGGAGGAGGTTGGATCACCCCTGCCCCTGGCTGCCCTCCCCCTCCTCTCCACCATGGCTTTGGAAGCACATAGCAAAGAAAGAGGAAATTCCTGGAATTCCTTCATCAGCATTAGGGCTTGTTTTGCACAAACTTGGACAGAGGTTGCTCCTAAGGGGCCAGCCTGTGCTTTCATCCCATTGCAGCAAGAGGTCTGCCCTTATTTATTTATTTTCCTTCCCCGCCAGCTTACCCAGCCTCCTTCGGTGAATGAAGTGCATTAGCCTCGTCGAGCACAGAGATGCTGACATCGCTGCTGGACTGGCTAGGTTTTAAATTACTCTCCCCCCTGGGAGGTGGAGGCTCTTTCCTTTTCTTCTTGGCAAAGAAGTTCTTGAAAGTCTGAAATTTGGATTTTTTCTTTCCTGCAACATGAGAAAAAAGAAAATTTATGGAAGTTGGAGGTGTTGCTTAGCTTGGAGAATGTTTTCCTTTTAAATTTTGAAGGAAGCCTATGGACAGCCACAAGCAGGAGCAGCCCATTGAGTTCTAGTCAGCTGCCTTGTAAATAATTCAGTGCTGGAGTCTAGTGAAAGGTGAAGCTGCAGTTCTTAGATGTGCTGCCTATAAAGCAACACTGGCATTAGGCTGACAATGGTGGTGCCTACTTAGGTTCCAGTTTATGAAAAATACACAGAGAGAATGTATCTATCACAACTGACAAGTGATCATGCAAATCATATAAATCATACTTAATATTTTTTCAATAAAACAATTAACATTTTAAAGTGTTTAAATGTTTCATTTAGCTTGGTTTATTTCTGCTTTTTCTTTATTCAGGACTGTAAGGAAACAAAAAGATTAAAACTGGCAAAGGAATCCATAAACCCTAAAACCAAAAGATCTGTTTTCACACTACATTAGTGCCCCAAATTAAAATCAACAACTCCTCAAAGGTTAGTGGAGCAAGCTTAAGTTAAGACATTCCCCTGTAGAACACGAAACCCCCAAACACAGCAACCCTAAGAACATGATTAGAAAACTGCTAAGCTGACTTCACATTTTCCATTGTCCAAACGAAAAGAAAGACAAAAAGAGAATAGACCATAAGAACCATAATTGACTTCTTTCATTTTTAATAGCCTTAGATACTTTCACATTCTTATTTATATTTTCTTTCAGCACACAAAAGCTGTGTTTTGTCACTGACTCTTACATTGAGGGGTCATTTTGGGGTGGTTTGGGCCAAGCTATTGTACTGACCCCCGTGGTTGACTTAGATACATATGCAGAGCAATAACATCACTGCATATCAGAGCCAAATTCATTGTTCAATTAACTACTTTACAGCAGTTGGCATAATAAATGCTCACAGCTGGAGGATTCCTTAATAAGCAAGGCATTCTTTCCACGCAGTTATTGTCTTCTCCCAGCAATGATTTAGTCGGCAATGCTCTGCCTCAACGTGTGCCCTGTGTGTGTAGGGACTTCTGCCAACAAGCCTTATCTGGGCTGAAACTGTGCCACCGCACAGCTGCATCGTGCATCAGACAGTAGGCACTTTGAGAAGTAAACAATGACACCGAGACCTGCTCACCCTGTCTCCTCCCAGCTCTCGAGATGGTTGCCAGCAGCACGCATCAGGACGTACAAGGATGCTGCTACACCAACCAGCATGGCCTGACGAAAGGGCACCTCTCTGCAGAGCAGTAGTTGTCAAAGAAGACCTGCACTTTGCTTTTCCAGTGAGTTGGGCTGTCACTGGGACCAAGCTATTTTTCCAACAATTTAGTGTAAAACGATCAATGGCTTTCCACTCACCTAAATAACAACGAGATGTGGTGCTCCTATGGAGGGTTTATCAGCAGAAGATCTCAGAAAGCTGTGTATCAGGCAGTAAAAGAATGATGTAGTCTCAGAAAATAAAGGATAAATTGCCTCCCTTGGATGCCAGAGCTGAGCCCAAAGCTTTTAGAGTTGTTAAGACTCTGTCATGGGGCTCAATGAGTGTTTACACATCTCCAGAGCAGGAGATGGTAAGAAAAGACAGGTCACACAGCAATCAGAAGAGCACAGTGCCTCCCGATGAAGCAAGTGTATTGACTGAGACTGCAGAGTCTTTAGAAATGCCTCTCTACCATTACTACCATTCACATCAGTAGCTAGACAACCTACATGGTATTCTTTTGGCAAACTGGACAAAGCAGAATTGGTTTATTTTAGATTAGCAAAACAAAAGATTAAAATGAAGCAGCACCCCAAAATTATCAATCCAACAATGTCTGCTAGCACACTCCAGTGACTGAAAGAACAAAATGGCAGACATTGCTGCACACAGAGAGCTTTGCAACTTAAAGGCAGTCTAAATGAAAAATAAGGACATTGCCAGCTACAGTGGAGATCTGTCAGTGACAATAAGGAAGTTTAATTCTAGTGCAAGTATTACTGTTGAGCATAATTAGATGTTAGTATTTCCAGAAGAACCAGGAGGATGTTTAAAAAAAAAAAACACACACAAAACACAACCAACAAAAAAGAAGTGGTCCTAAGGACAAGAACAACAGACACAAGTCCTTCCACAAAGCAGAATATTGCCAGGAAGAACACTCCAAATACTTGTTTAGATCAGAAGTGGTGCTAACTTTAGAATGGAGCCCATGGAAAAGATTCACAAGCACTGCCAATTAGTAAACCTCAACTGGCATGGGACAATACTTGGGCATCGTTGTGAACAGAGAGTCCTCTGTTACTTCAGTACCTTCTCTAGCCTCTGATTTATTTCTGATGCGCGGGGCACATCCCCTCCAGCAATAATTCCTCTTCAGCTGGGCTCTGCTCAGCTGCATGCCTTCAGCTGTTTCAGATGAATGAGAAACACTCAGTTTCCCTGCAGTTCCAGAAGATGGGCACTTGCCATGTTATTACGCAAAGAAGATAAAATCACCCCTAGACACTTTGTGCTGCATGCAGATGAAAACTGTGGGGCTGCTCTGTGGCGGAGCATTTGACAATAAAGGCACAGCTCAGAAAGATGGTGTTCAAATCAGTTTCCTGCTGCAAGCACTTTGTACTGCTGCTTCTCCACGCTGTTAAAGGGATGCCACGTTTCATTTAGAGGTGTCTACATCTCAGTGCACTGTGAAGTAGCCCAACATATCATTAAATTGGTACCGTGCTCCATGATAATTCAACTTACTGAATAATGTGCGAGAGGATCTTATGACTTAAAATGAAATAAAGCTGTTGCAAAGCTGTAACAAAAACCTAGTCAAAATAGGGAGAGAAAATCCAAGCTCAGACAACTGCCTTTTCCCCATTCACCCACTGATGAATAATTCAATGTAATAATTCACCACTGATGAATAAAATAATGTCATTATTTTTAAATGCTTACAGTTGTCAATATTCAATTAAGACATTAAAAACAAAATATTAATTTAAAGGCTACTGCCCTAAAAAGCAAAAGTCCTCCCCAAAATGAACTCTAACAATTTAGCCCATTATAAGAGAAAAGGAGCAGGAATAAGCATTTGCTTTTTCTGCAAAGTTTATTTATTCTGTATTTTTTACTGCTTGTGTATTGCCTATTTCATGGTTTCTCCTGTGCACTGAGAGAATTAACGCTCTTTTTGCTCACTGTAGAGCTCTTCCCTATAACATAGAAGAGAGAAAGATACTTTTACCAGTGCAAAATTGAGACTGTAAAAAGCAGAGGGAATATCCGATTTAGAAGCTCAATTATCGTATTTAAATCAAACGGATCATTTAGGGATATTCTATGCTCTCTGTCTTCTAAGGTGCACTCATTTTTTTCTTCAGCTCCAACAACTAGCTATTTTCATGAATAAAAATACAGGATATAAAAAAAAAAGACAAGATTCTCAAAAAAAAAAAATACCACGATCCATGATTCTAGCTTCACAAAAAAATACTCAAGGCTGCCAAACAAGCAATAAAATTGTGATATTTAGCAAGACTAGCAATGGGCACTGAGAGTTTTTGGACAATTACTTTGTCACTACCGCTAGGAAGAAACAGTGTGCACTGGAAACTCTACAACTAGTCAGACAATAACATAACCCCGAAGAAGTTAATCTCATTGACTAGACTGTGAAGAGTGGGAATTTTAGCCTCCTAAAGCTTTTCCATTATAAGCCACTACAAAGAGGAAGAGGTGATGCAATCCTACCTTACATGGGAAATAAACAAATTTCCAAAAATTAAAACAACAACAAAACAAGATAGGTTTTTCCAGGTCTGGTTAAGTGTTTCTTGAATATCTCAGTAATAGTGCAGCAGCTTTTAACTTAATAAGTTTGGTTCAATTAGAACCAGTTAAGAGACAGAAATATTCCTGGTCTTTTTAGAGCCAACAATTAAGCCAGAAGGCCATCTCCTGCCTTCCTTGTTAGCAGAGTCAGGATTTGATCCATTTTCTGAACGTTCTCCAAACCTGAGCACAAAACGTGCACATCTGGGTTTCATACAAGGTCACCAGTGTGTCCCAAGTAGCACTGGACAACATCATCAACTAGGTTATAAATTCAGAAAACCAGCCACTACTGGGCATCCATCACCCCTTCCTTCACCACTATCCATCTGCCACACAGGGTTCAACTAAGAGTTGCTTTGCTATTTGATTCTCTCCCGTACCAGTATTCTGGTGGTGGCAAATCTATTTCTAAAGGATGAAGCAAGCTGGTCTTTGAAACACTGAAACATTGAAAATGACTGTGAAACATTAGCCAAAAAAAATCAACTGGTATGACAGCCACTTCTGAAACGCTTCAGCTATTGTGGTATTCTTCATACTCGCTTAGCTCCTCAAGAAAAGTCTGAACACTGGCAAAAGGGATTTGCTTTAATTAACACAGCTCTTGCATAAGTAACATATTTTCCTTTCTTGTCTATTATTCCATTCCCTCATGGCTGCCTGCATCAGCCCATGCCACTGGATGAAAGAATAAGTAACAAATGGTTGTCTGTGGCCAGAAGCAGAGAATAAAGCTGCAGCAGGGGCACTCACAGCTCCCACAGGCAGAGGCTAATACAACAGTTGGCTACCATGCTCAGCCCCCAGCTCCGTGGCATCCACCAAGGCAGGCACGACAAGCAGCTATTCAAGCACTTATGTCCTAATTTTTTGAAAATCCAAGGCAGATTCAGAAAATACTAACATCCAACACATTATGATCCTCCAGTACTGCACATTAAGGGTCCTTTTCATAATATTGCCAGCTGGCAATGCCACACAGACAAAAAAAAAAAAAAAAGAAAAAAAAAAACTAAACCTGCAAAACGAGTCACCACAGACGTTTCCCCCAGCTTGAAAAAAATAAACCTTGACTTCCAAATCAGCTCCACATTTGGAGAACTACTGCTTACCTGTGCACTCTTCAACAGTCTCTCCTGTTTCAGGTGACTGTATGACGTCTGTTGGCCCCGTAGCCATGATATAGTCACTGAAATAGAGATGAAAGCATTGGTTACATTTTTGTCCACCTTCACAGACCATGATCCCACCCTGCTGCTGTGTTCCCAAATGCTCATCACAAACAGAGCTTGCACACTTGTTTTGCACCTGAGCCACAGACCTTTTCCACATTTTTCAGTGACACTTATTTCTCCAGCCAAAACAAATAAACTAGTCTTACTTTGTGCCAGTACCTCTCTCTTTTTAGGAATCCAGGATCAAAGCTTGTATTACATGAAAACGTGACCAGCCAAGGACTGTAATGCTTCCCAGCCTCAGAATAATGAATCTTTATGCACACGCTTTGCTACAGACTGACAGCTCCATGCTACTGTAAAAAACATTTTAAATAAGAGCTCTGCTGCCCAGGGTGCATGTATTACAGTGTCCTTACAGCAGGCACCAGGCTAGCCTGTCAGCATTATTAAAATTAGTTAAGCATCAGCACTGAACCATCATTCTGGGCTATGCTGCATTTGTGGAAACCAATAGATCAAATTTATTTTGGTTCCAGTGCAATCAGCTTTTAGCCACAAGCTTTGAAACCTTATCGCAAGCAGGTCTATTGATCAACCACATTAGCTGACGGCATCATCTTCCTCCCCGATGAAAACAAAAGTTCGGTCTAGTTTTAAGATCATTCAATGCTAACTGGCTCCACTTTGTATTTTCCAAGGCTCCTAAACGGGTGTCTGTCAGAAACAAAGGGATTAGGCAGCAGACCGCAAGAGTTACAGTACAAATGTCAAGCAACAATGGGAACGTGACAGTTTAGCAAGGCAGCTCATAAATATTGTCCTTTGTCAGAGGAGATATCCAAATGATACATTTACATAGTTAGCAGTTCCAGTATGCCATGTCAGGGCTTAAAGAGTAAGAAACCTTCACAAAGAAATGAGAATACCCATACAAACAAATGAAAATACCCCCACAGACAAATGAAAATACCCACAAACAAATCTTGTCCCCTTTTTTGCACAGACATGGTTTATTTTCCACCTCAAGTGGTACAATACTGCTAAGTTACATAGCTTAGGTGCCTGTTTGGCCAGTCAGCAAACTCTTGTATTCCTTCTGTATCAGCCACACCTATATTACATTACGGCGAAGAGCACTAGTACTTCCCTGAGTCCATGGACAGCCCAAGTCCTCAGATAACCTTAAAAGAGAAGGTGTGCAGAGGAAATGGGACTGTCAAAAAAAAACAAAAAAAAAGGCAGCAGCAGGCCATGGAGGAAAAAGGCAGGGCTCCTGCAAGAAAGCAGAGAGAGGAAGCATGCCCTGTACTACCTGCTGCCATGCTGCTGACCTCTAGGTAGAAACAGAGCAGACGGACCACAGTTTTCTTCTGGTTTAACTCATCTGGAGGCAGCAAACACAGGAGTGGATTAACACACTGTACTTCCAAACAATCTCATCTCACCTTGCAAAAAAGGCAATGAAGAAGTCATTGCAGGGACCAGGACTGATTGTGCCTTTGCTAAATAAGATGCACAGAGGTTTGAAACAATTGGCTTTGAAACAATTGTTAGACAATATGCAGAAGCAACAAAGAGTAAGACTTTTAAGACCTTCCCTTTTAGATGATCATAACCATTCAGCATTTCTCCTTTTTCCATTCAGGTCTCATCAATTATCCATGGAAATGCCTGCATTTCCTGCATATTTTGATTAAAGTGGTCATCAGCAGACTTTCTCATAGATTCTCTGCATTAAGAAGAAATTTGGACCCATTTTTTCCCCTCAACTTTATACACAATGCATATTGTTAGATTTATCCTTAGGGAAAGGGAAATGCATTTGAAATAAAACATTAAGACAGTGCTCAGCACATTTACAAGGACAAACTGGCGAGTCCCCAGACTTGCTCTTCTTTTCCCAGACTGCGAGTGGGACTGACTTCTGGCTCATTCACACCTCTAGCTTCTGCTTTGCTCACCTTCAATAACAAGAAAGCAAGGCAAAATGTTGATTTCAGATTCAGCTTTGTTTTTGCTGGCTCTCCATTTATTTAAATTACTCCATCATCTCAGCTGCTCACTCAGAACCCCTCCAGTCCTTGGAGATCCTTTGACTGCTGTGTTTATTACAACAAGCATTTATTTCCATTTGGTGTATCTCTTATACAAGTAGAACTATAATTGCAGAGCAGTTCAGCTCCGAGGCAGTCTCTTTACAGTCAAATCAGCTCCTGCATTAACTCAATTTTATAGCTGAGTTCTCTGGGGCATATGGAGGTCAAGTGTCAATTGCGAGGGTGCATCACGAGTCTGCAACTGTGCCCCCATTTAGGACCTAAAGCTCTAAGTTAACAAGCATTGAAATAACAAGAGAAAAAATATTTACAGCCAAGTGTAAATTCCATCATTACAATGATGACGTACCTGAAGGAAAGTTAGCACTGAGATAACATTTAGGCTTCAAATTCTGGCAGCACTCTGCTTTATTTTACAAGAGAAAAGCTAGCAAAAGTTCTGGGCACCAAACCCTAGCCTGAGGATTAATGTAGCAGAGAGAATGAGGACAAAACCCCATCAATACGAACACATGTGAGTGCACAGGCATTAACGGATCGAACCCCGACATCCACCACTTGCAGCCCTTAATGACAGCTGACAGCCGCAGCGCTGCGCGTGGTAGGGATGTATCGATACTGCCCGCCCAGCTCAATCAGCTGTACTCACCACGTGCACCCCGCAGGCTCCCCCGGAGCACTGCACCACGAGACGAAGTTTTAAACAGATGCTGTATGCACATTGATTTTTAGTGATAAAGTATCAGATGAAATAAGAGGCCTTTTGGAGCAGCATTTCCAAGGTTCGGCATGCCAGGAGATGCTAGAGGACAGCTGGGAGAAGGTGCCCACCAAGGGACAAAGCAGGCTCTCTCCTCAGTGGCAGCAGGCACAGCAGAGCAGTGATGGAGCTGTCAAGCATTTTGAAGGCATATGTGTAATTTAAAGGCATACAGCTCCCACAGTTTAAGGCTTTCCTTATGTTCAAAGCAGGCAACAGGGCATAGTTAGCAATCACTGCTACACTGATGTGGTTTATGGTCTAGATCTGGGCTCCCTGCTATACATACAGCACTGCCGTTAATAACCCTGCTGAGTTTTCACCTGGAGCTCTTCAACTCATTAGGGCAACTCTTAAGTCCTAAGAGAAAACACTCCAGCAACAGGAGAAATAGCCTTGTCTCTCTTTTACAATCTGGAGCAGCCGGACAAATATTTAGAGTGCTCTACAGGAAGGCATTGGCTGGGCAGAAGAAATGCAAAGCCGGGAAATGTCTGACTATTCCCTTTTCCCGGCTAAGTACATTACCTGAATAAGTGTATCACGTGGGGGGAAACATGCTAACAGCAAAGACAACTCCCTTCCCTCCTTGGTTTGCGTATTTAAGGACTGCAGGGAAGTTAACATTGTACAGGACTCAAGTTTCCCACATTTGACAAAGGCCCAAGACAAACAGACATGCTTTCTGCTCAGCCTCACAAAGGAGACACAGCCTCCTTGCTGTCTCTGCATCAGACCAAAGAGATGGAGACCGCACAACAAGCAGGCTCCGTCCCCAGCTTCTGGTGTTTCTTCAGTTCAGTCCCATGCCTCTGCACGAGCCTTCTGGAAGGCCTCGCAAAAGAGATCAAAGGAGATGCTGACCCCTGAACAGTCTCCTTCCAAACAAATAAAGGCTTGAGAAAATAAGGACTCAGTACCGCCAGGCACTTCATTCGTTTAATATCTTCATACCCTACAGGAGACAGACAACGAGAAGCGGCCACCAGAAAGAGGTGGCATTTTAGCCTGGAGTTTTTAAAGACCCATTTCCTCCAGGCTACAAAAACCAAGCTTGTGCTCAGATTTCTGGACACATGCTTTGCACAGCAAGATGGGTCAGCACCGGGAAATGCAGGCCCCTCACCTGTCCTGCAGGACCAGCCCGTGGCCAGCATCCCCACCCAACACACCTGGAGCTGCAGCAGGACCTCGAGAAAAGCCCCCAGTCTGCCCTGAGCACAGAGCCTCATAAAAACACAGGCTGCAGGATGGTTTAGTATTCACATTATGTTCTTCAGCTGAAGGTGACAGGTTAAATTGTTACTCTGTCCTATTAAGGCACGTTGGAGGACTTTGTTCTGTCAAAATGGGCTTGTTTGCTTCCTCCCTGGGAACGCTACAGGCTAGCCATGGACTTGGCAACCCACTGAAAGTAAGGGAAGCAAAATTGTCTTTGGTTTACCCTCTGCAACCCCACTGAACAGACTCTCAGAGTCAATCACAAAGCAACAGCAGAGCCAGCGAGGTTTCTATTCAATTTTCATGTCCCTTGAGCCCATCACCAACTCCACAACCAAAGCTCCCGTCACTGTCTGTGCAGCGAGCCGAGCAAGCTGCTCTTCAGGGTCCCTGTTCAGGGAACAGGCTGAATGGTGTGGGATCCCACAATCAACCAGGAACCAGGCTCAAGCAGGGTCCTGCCCAACATGACAGTGGGACTGGGACCTGACCTCGCACAGCCGATCCCACTCAACTCTTTTTAGAGTTTCTAGGATGAACTGCCCCCAGTTTTGGCCAGCTGGATGTTTTTCCAAACCCTACCTGGTCTGAGCCTCGCACAACTGTGGCTGTTTCAAGCAGGAATAGGAGAATGGCACAAACAACAGCTTACATGAGGCCTCTTGCTGCCACCTCCACTGATAACAGGGAGGGGTGGGGAAGAAGATTACAAAGTTAATGAGTACTGATCCTGTCATTTCTATGGAAAGAAGAGCTTAGGAAAGTTTAAGGTCATTTTCAAAGGATCACAGATCAGGAAGCCTAGACAAGCAACTTGTCAGTATTTAGTATCAATAAAAATGCTCTCCCAGGAACAAGTAGGGGTCATAATTCCCCACAGCATCAGAAAACACTCAGCTGCTACCCTTGAAGAGATATCCAGAGCAAACAACCTTTCACATTAAGAGATCTACAGCCAGCTTTCACGCTTTGCATTCAGACAACACCCCCTCACCGTGCTCGGTCCCCAGACCCGGACTTCACAGGGAAGGCTTGCCAGAAGACAGGTCCCAGTGTGCTGAACTCTTTTTACCTACAGTCTGCTTTGAGCAGCCTCTGTCTGACCGCTTCTGAAGGATTTCTGCTATTCAGCAGTGCATTATGTGCTGCCCTCCCAGCGAGTGTGTGTGTAACACTAATGGAAAGCAGCTGGTGGGCTGAAGCTGAGTTAAAAAAATAAAAAAGGAGCAGGAGGAAATGCCTTTCATACAGTCACACGGGCTCAGTCTGTAATTGTGTGAGAAGCCAAAAGGATAAGAAGGGGGAAGGGAAAACGAGACTAAAAAATATTTGTAAGCTACTGGAGAAAACAGAGTGGAAATGCACTCTGCAGCATATGTACATGGTCCTGTGAGAGCTCAAAGCTGGGGCAGGTACAGCTGAGCAGAGCTGGTTTGTATTCAGCTCGGGATGCCCAGCTCAAGTCTGAGCAGCCCCACTTTGCAATGGCTGGCACCCACAGCAGACAATGACCTGTCTCAGGCATGCCCTCGTGCCCCTAATTACTCTGCAGAGCTTATTAGCACAACCTCGTACTGCTGCTGTCAGTGCAGGGATCCCTACTGCAAGTCTGCTTCAACACAGACAGCAGAATATCCACCTGTTTGCCAAAAACTAAGTGCTTCTGAACAGCCCTTCTCTGACAGTAAGTTACAGCATAATATTTCCAGTGCATTTTCTGGTCTGTACAAATCAGCGGAAACGCGAGAGAACTTTGCTCAAATCAAGACTGGCACCAACTCAGTCATGAACTAAGCACACACAAAAGCTCAGCCAATGCTTTGGGCCCTGACTGCCTCCATTGTAAAGGAATGTACACTAACTGACCCAGCTGAACTGCACCACTTGGCACCAGCGTAGGTATAAGTCAGTGCTTTTCACATGTAGTAATTCTTCTTTACACTACCACACTGGGGAAGTTTCAGGAAACAGCTGGAATGAGGATCTTCTTCCACTCTTCCTAACAAGAAGCAACAGAAGCAGCAGAGTCATCCAGCAACGGTACGAGGAACCAGCATGTTGCCAGCAGCAGGAGACTCCCTCAGATCCACTTGACGTGGATACAGCTGGCGAAGTGGGGAGGGAGGGGAAACAAGCACTTAACATCAACACGGACGTAACCAAAGGCAGTTAGGGAGTTACACCAGAAAGCTCTGCTGCCTTTGGAAACAGCTCCACGAGCAGAGCAGCAGGAAGCATCCAGCCACTATCACTGAAGAGCAGGCATGCCTTACGCTAGCAGAGTCACGAAGCCAGAGTCAAGTACAGGAATAAAAGTCAAGCTGACTGTCTCTGCCTCTGTCACTGGAGTCCAGGGCAAACGGCAGGGCTGCCAACAGGACCCAAAATGTTTATTGCTCTTTTTTCTTTTCAAAGAAGCTCTGAGCTTCTTTGCCTGTGGAATCGCAATGGTCACGCTGAATGCCTGGAAAGCTTACCAAGCAAAGCACTGCCTCTGCTACAGGAGACCAGCACGTTGGGACCTTACCAGTTGACTCTGCTACCAGGTGCTACCACTACAAATAAGTTACAGAAATCATAAAATTTCACAAGAGTGGCCTGCATATCTGCCGTGTTCCTGTATTTGGATCCTGCTCTGGTCCCCAAGATGTTCACGAGGAATCAGCACATCCTAGGCCTGAAAAGAGTCTGGAGAAAAAAATAACAAATTAAGCTGTCTGAATATTGCAGGGAAAATGAGGCTGAAACAATAGCTATCTGAATGCCAGAACTGAAACGTGGGACTTGAAGCTATGTCTGAAGCTTTTTTATTTATTTATTTTTCCAAAACTGTCCCTTATCACTCACTCTGTGAGATAAAGAACAGCCTACAGAGGGGAAAAAGTAAAAAAAAAAAAAAAATAAATCTCTAGGTAGATCAAACTCCCCAGAACCCATTGCTTCCAAGATATGTTAATAAAGACATTTAATGCCTAGGAATTTAAAGTACACTAACAAAGAAACAAACAAACAGCAAAAAAACTAGTGACTAACAGAAATTTCCAGGGCTGACTGTGTCACAAATGTTCACTCCAAGGATCAAACTCTTACAAACAGCCAGCCATCTTTTGGCTATACAAGAGAGCAAATAAAATGCAGGCTTTGTGGTCTCAGAGGCTGCCTTTGGCAGGAAGGTCAGGAAATCTCTTCATGTGAAGTCCCCAGACTTAGCCAGGGCAACATCTACTGGCTGTACACACGCGAAAATAAAAACAAGGCCAGTTCCCTCCTATGTTGAAACAAACTGCATCTGGCTGGCTAAACCCCGTGAGCTCCCACGGTTTCTGGAATTCAGATCCCATTTTGGCTGCTGATCTTAGCCAGAGCCAAAGGAAGGCCTGGGGCAGCTTCCACGCTTGCAAAAGGAGCTTTTCTGGAGCTCTGTGGGGAGTCTGAGGGTCTCCCTGCGTTTGATTTCACTGAAGTCTTCTCCTGTCCCTGCTCTTTCCTCCTGGCAGCTCTCCCTGCAGCCCAAGTCAGGCACCTTCCGAGGCACGCTGTCCTGAAGGACAGGAGAATTGTGAGAGCCAAGGGAGGTCATGCATGTGCTTCAAGCAGTCCCTGAGCCACGTGTGTCCCCAGGCTATCTACTGGCTTTTCTCTTTCATACGAGCAGCCACTACAAAGGGATCCCACTTCTCCAAGGCTGCAGCCACAAACACCCCTTCACAACAAGACCAGCTGAGCCAGTGCTGGCTTGCACCAATGGAGCATCAACTGCATTTGGCCGTTTTGAAGGAGGTGGTGGCATCAGGGAGAAAAGGGGACAAAACGGAAGAAAATCCCAGGAGGGGGACACCAAGGGCCACAAAAAGGGTACTGACAAGAGGATGTCATGGAAAAAAAAAAACAGGCATGGAGAGACATTCTGTAAGGTCTTAACAGGCCAAGCTCTACAAGGAAGGAAGCAATGAAGAGATTTGCATTTTTTGAAGCAATACAATGAACTTTCGACTTCTGGAATATTCTTTTCTCTAAACTGAGAGGATGGAAAATAATTTGCTAGAGTGAATCAGCAAACAATTGCTCCGCACCTCTGTCAGGTCTGTATTCCCCCCATCCACACAGACAGTTTGATGACTACATCCGTACATCTACAGAGCAATTCTGAGCTCGAGTGTATAAATACATCCCGCTCGCATCTGAAATACCGTGTGGATCAGAACTGTGTTGTTAGATGAGTGATTCTGTGCCTGGCAAAAGCACACGGTTACATATTTCTTAGAATGAATAAGCATAAATGAATCCATCATGAATAAAAGTCAAACATTTAGTTCGCTAATTAGCACCAGATCCTTGAAACTCTGAGGCCAAAAGAAACAACCACCACAAAAATGTGAAGCCGGAATGCCGCTTTAGCTCTGGCTGCATGGTTGGAAAGCAGAATCAGGCTGCTTTGTCTGCCCAAAGTCACCCTGCTCCGACTGGAAGTGCTACAGTCCCCTCCAACCATGTCACAGATATTAAGGTGCTACGGCACGGTGACAGGATACACAAGACCACAGAGTACCCTGGTACCTGAAGGCCTGTACGAATGCAGCAGCACACACTGGTGTAACGACAGAGTTAAACGATGAGTAAGGACATAAGGATGTGTGTGGCCCAGGTCTCAGCGTCTTCGTGTACATCGTGTCGGAAACATTGAGCTGTTAGCACAACCCTGACTGCTACACGCCTGATGAGCAGTGACAGCTCAGCATCTGCATGCAGAATCAGGCAGGATATTAAGTGACTGGCTTTAATTTGTTTAAACAATGACTCCCACAATGGAGCCTCAGAGGGCCACCTGCTACCTCAACACAAATAACTATTACTGATATAACAACATATGGAAAAAAAAGAAGTCTGCAGTTCATATTTGCTGTATTCAAAATATTTCTGAAAACTCCTTGATGCATAACAGTACCAACCTTGAAACGACAGTGGATTTAGCTCAGAAATACAAGCTTTGATGACTGTAGTGTTGAGCGTCTGGTAAGAATCAATGCACGTTGTGCTCAGCTGTTTTCTTACAGCAGCAGCCCTTAGGAGAGCAAAAGTAAAAATTCAGCCTTGGAATTACCTTGGGTTTCTGCCTGTCTCCCCACAGGCAGCCTCATCTTGGAGTTTCCCAGGTTTGCTGGTAATCAGCTCTAGCTGTGCTACGCTAGCTCAGGTAGGTTATCCATTGGAAGCGAAGCTTGGAGCTAGTACATTTTTGTCTTAAGTATCCATAGCCAGATTTCAGCTTAGAAAGCCATTTCCAGGCCTTCATATCACAGCTATTAAGCTTTCCAGACCTCTGTACATGGAGGAAATGGTAAATTCATCTCTCCATTTGGCTGAAAGGGTACAAAGCTAGATGCTCTGAGCAGCAGAAGACTCGTAAGGAGAGAACACAAGGAAAATCATGACAAGATGTTTTCAAGGCTCAATCTGGCAAGATAAGATGGACAAAAAACTGGCAGGCAAATGGTGCAGAAGAGTGAAGATCACATTCAGCAGATTGTCCCAAGCCAAGAAGCTTCTGCTGTGCTGTAAAATAAGTAGGACGGGCAGCATTAGGGGCACTCACCCATCAGACACTCAGTACTTTGGTGGTAGGGAAAGGGCTGTTGTGCTGAAACCCAACGGACACGGCTGCCTGGAATTCCTCTGCCTACAGCCAGCAAACGCACCGCATCGCAGTGGCTGCTAAAGCAAACACCATCCAGAGAAAAGTGTGAAGAGGAGG